GCTGGGAGGGATTGGGGGTGGGTGGCCCCGGCCCCCCCCCCCCCCCCCCCCCCCCCCGTGGTCTCCATAGCCAGTTTCTAATCCTCGGCTCTGTCCAGGACAATAAAACAGATAGGAAGGCACTGAAGCACTTGAACATGCTTCCTGAATATATCTTCTTGGTATTCCCCAAGCTGGTCAGGGCTAGAATAGCAATGAGGTCCCTGGTCAGTCTGAAAATTGTGGGCACAGCCAGAGGTGGTCCACGCTAACCTAACCCAGCGGTACTCCTCTTGCCTGCCTGCCTGCCTGCCTGCCTGCCTGCCTGCCTGCCCTCCATTTCGGACTCTCCAGCCCCTTTTCACGCCCTTCCACCTCCAGGAAGCAGAGAGGGAAAGGAGAAGCCTGAGAGGGAAAGTTGTCAACCAGCAGAAGAAAGAATGCATCACTAAAAACAACGAAGTCCCTTTCTGATTTATGAGATCCCTTCCAAGTCAGGAGTTTGGGGATTAGAATGAAATCTGTGGGCCTCTCCTGTGGTAGCTCTCGGCACCAAGTTTGTCTGCCACGCAGGCTGCCTCTGCCCGCCCTGGAATTTTTCAAATCCAAGCCAACCTAGCTCTGGGATGCGGGTGGTGGTGGGGATTGAACAAGCAGAGCTGGAAGTATCCATCCCTCCCATAAAGTGGGGCGAGACCCTAAGGGCTAGGAAAGAAACCCCAACCCCTCCCCCATCTCCTTGTTCCTGGAGCAGCTGGGGCTGACACAGCCAGCAGGAGGCAACTGCTCTCTCTCTCCAGCTGTTTGGTTTCTATCTGCCAGACTGCTGTGGGAGCTGAGGCTGAGGGCAGAGGTAGGCTCCCACCAGGGTAAGCTTCCAGCAGGGCTGAGCTGCCTGATGAGATCCTTGTTCATGAGGGACATCAGGCCCCTACGCAGTCACACACAAAGGGCAGAAGACAGAGATGGTTACTGTCATAAGGCAATAGGAAGGAGAGATTAAAAATGAATTGGGATATTGAAGGAAAAGCAAACCTGGAAAGAAAACAAAACAAAAAATGTAAGGAGAGGCAGCCAGATGTGGTGGAACACCTGTAATTGCAGCACTTGGGAGGCAGAGGCAGGAGGACCCTGAATTTAGAGTCAGCTGTTCTCAATCTGTGGGTCGCTACCCTTTTGGGGGTCAAATGACACTTTCACAGGGGTTGTATATCAGATATCCTCCATATCAGATATTTACATTGTGATTCATAACAGTAGAAAAATTACAGTTATAAAGTAGCAATAAAATAATTTTATGGTTGGGGGTCACCACAGCATAAGGAACTGTATTAAATGGTTGTAGCATTAGGAAGGTTAAGAACCACTGGGCTACATGGTAAGCCTCCTCACCTCAAAAGCAAAAAGAAGAAAAGAGAGGCAAAGAAAGGGCCAGTGGAAAATTTTGCCACCCTTCATCATTAGCTGTGGTAGGAAGGGTTGGGTTGGGTTGGGTTGGGTTGGAGCAAGTGGGGAGACCCAGCCTTGTTTATCCACTGGTGTGATTGTTCAGCAAAATGCCTACCTTTGGGTGGACCCTGAACACATGCACTGAACTTTCGGCCTTCCAAGGTAGGCGCTGGAAGTAGACAAGGGTTTCCTAAAAGCCAGGGCAAGGACAGAAAAGCAGAACAACTCCCAAGAATGGGGAGGAAGGGCAGCAACTGCCCCTTACTGAAGCCCATCACATAGAAACCACTTCATGGAGATTGCAGCATGGAACACAGTGCTGGGACACTGCAGACTTAAGCAAGTCTCACCCTGGCTACAAGAGATCATGGTGCTCAGGCTTCTTGACTGAGTGGCAGGCAGTGGCACAAGCAGAATCTGAACTCAAACACTCCCATTGGGATGCCTCCTGGGATAAGGCATGAAGGAGAGGCTAGCTCAGTGATGCCCAAGCTAGAACAGCATGGTGTAGTGAAGGGACATGGAGCCTCAGAGGCCAAGAAACATCAGGTTCTGATGAGCAAGTGATGGTCCATGAATTTGAACAAGTTGTTTCCGTTTCCTGATCTTGGTTTCTCCTCATGAGTGAGGGCTTGGGCCAGGTGCTCCTCACACTGTTTCCATCTGTAAGCATGTGGTGTTTAGTCAGATTCCTGCTCCCCCCATTTGCTTTGCAGCCTCATTTCCTACTTCTGCTGCTATGGATCTGGTATCATCTCTAGATCTGAGCGCCTGTTCCCCTGGCCCATTCACTACAGAGGCCAGAGACTGGGAGCACGGCTTGACGCCATCTCTACATGAGTCTGATCAATTAGTAATCATTTAATGAAATAAAGAAGTGATTGCTTACTAAACTTACCATATACCTGACATGGCGTTTAATGGGCAATGCAGTTATACAGAGAGAATTAGTCTTGACCCCAGTCCATTAGCTTACAGGTAATGAGAAACTGCCACCCACAAAGGATGCTTCCAAATGTAATCAGAAGTTGTTAGTGCTTAATGGGAGCACAGAAACACTTGGGAGCCATGCCCTCTTCAGCCTTCCCCTTCCACTTAGAGAGCTGGAAGAGCGATATGTGTGAGTGGAGACTGGTTTGGGACTGTGTGAACTCTGTTCTCACAGCTTGTCCTTTGGATTCCCACTGTTTTCGCCATGTTGCTGAAGTCTCGGGCAGCCATATCTGTGCTTCGTGGTCCATTTAAGGACCGAGCAGCTTTTCTGTGATCAGATGGCATCTGGGCATGTATGCGATCCTTCCGCCTTTCATTCAAGAAGCCATCTTGGACAGCCTCATTCATTCATTCATTCATTCCCTCATTCAACAAATGTTCATTGAGACCCCACCCTTAAAGGACAGGTGGGGAACCAGGTATCCGATGTGATTTAGCAGTTGAGGCCTTGTATCGTTTGGTCATTGGGGTCCAGTGGTGCAGACCCTCAGTGATATTGCTCCTGAATCTCTTGATGTGCGCAGCTGCTAAGGCTCTGAAGTGTGCAGCTTCTGGGCCAATAGCCCCCATGGGCAGACATCAGGGCTCCTCCATTGCCTCCCTCTGGGTGGCTGGCACAGTGCTGGGCACTTGTAGATACTTGGTGAATATTTAGACATGTGTGGTTTCCCAGGGGCATTGAGTTAATCAGGAAGTTCCCCAGTTTTCCCTGTCCCAGCACAGTCTTCCACCAAGGAGACATGCAGAAACAGAATAACGACATTTTGAATGGAAAGGACAGGAAACGCCTGGGCTGGCTGCCAGCCCCAGATGCCTCTGGACAAGCAGGGGCCCACGGTCCTCTGTGTTCTGGAATGTGAAAGGCACTTGCCATGGCATCTTAAAGCAGCTCCTCCCCAAGCCTTTGCTCTTCACCCTGGATAGA